ATTTGAAGTGGCATCTGGTACCTTTCTTTATAATGAATATTATTTTCTACATATCAGTAATAAGAAAGTATTGATAATTAAAAACTATACCTATTGTATATTGTATATTTTACATATTTCATTTTATATTAGAGTTTGTTTATTAAATTAATGAAGAAGTACAATATCTAGCTACCATAGTTTATAGTATTTATTAATTGTACATTGTTTCCCTAAGTTTTCAGAAAGGGTGGCTTTTATTTTAAGCTTTAAGGATGAAATACAGTTATTATTTGAGGTTGGCTATTATTCAAAGAAAACTGATAAAAATTTTATTAATAACTATTATAGTTAATTTAGTTTAATTTTCAAAAATGTGAAATATTATTTTCAAAATAATATATCATATTTTTTAAGAGAAGAAATTATAACATTATCAAATATATATTTTTTATTAAATAAATCATGAATAAAGCTGATATTATATACTGTAACAAATAATGGTTTTTATTTAAAATTAGTTCTGTTTAATTATAACCTTTATTTTCATATGTTTGTTTCAGAATGTTTAATTTAATTCCAAAAAAATTAAATAAAATAGAATAATGTTCTGTAAAAAGAAAAATATAAATACTTAATGTCTATTATCTATTTATTTTTATAATTGATAATGATATAAAATTTTATTTACTTAGTCTAAATATCTCTTGATATACATTTTTCAATAAAAAAATAAAAACATATAAACAGAATTACTATTTCAGATTTTTGTTATTTTTTAAGATAATAAAATTTTGGTTTTTAATTTTTTCATTATGTGTTATCAATGTACTTTCAAAAATCAGTTATGTATCAATTACAAATATACAAAGGAACAGTTTGACAAAACAGTGTTTTTTTTTTTTTTTGTAATTTATTTTAGTTATTACAAATTTACTTTAATTGTATTGATTTTTGTTTTAGTCTACAACTAACTAATAGCATACAACTTTAAATAACTGTAACTTTTTATTATAAAATTTGAATCATGTTTATAACAATTTATACTGGTATATATTTTAAATGTATAGGTTATAAATCATAATATTAAATTCAAAAGAAATGAAATTTTTAAATGTAAATATACAGGTATCCCTTGTATAACAAGGTAGTTATGTTCTGAAAAAGTACCATGTTATGTGAATCCATGCTATATAAAAGAAAAGACTAATGAAAAACACAAGGTCACATTCCAGAAGTTAGCAAAAGTATACATTTATTAAAGCAATGGATAATTTATTTCCAATCAATAATTAATTAACAATCTTAATCACAATTAAAAGTACTGTATTATGCATTAATATTAATTTTTGTTGAATGAGGATGTTTTCTTTTTACAAAGTATCATCGTCATGTCAGCTTTTTTGTTGATCTTGATCAGAAGTATCAACAATGCTTCAATTTTTTTTAAATTTTTATCATAAAAAATTTTTTATGGATGATGAAATAGAAGTATGTTATTAATCAAAAATTTGTTCTAGTGGGTTGCATTTGTTCAGTCAAGTGCTGAGCTGCTTTTTTCCAGAATTTGTGTTCGAATACTGAATTGTTCAAGTACCGAGATATCACCATATTTTGTTCATTATTTTACATGATTACTTATCTACAGTTAAAAAAAAGTTTAATAACACTTATTTAAAAACGTTTAAATAAACTTTACTAAATATGAAGATTACATCTATAAAAACAAAACACAGTGGGTCTTAAAGGCTAAAATCTGACAACAACACTTAGTTGATAGGAAAGCTAGGACAAGGAAGAAAAAATTGTACTGTCAGTTTTCATTAAAGTAAATCTGATGAAAGGCATAAAGCAAATTGAAAATTTCAATATTCTAAAATCCATGAAAAAATTTGAGACAATATGCATACTTGCTTGAATAAAAAAAATTAAATAATGGAGTTTACTTTTTAAAAATTGTGAAATTTTGAATGGAGGATTACTCAAACCATGTTAGAGTGAAACCGGAAGTCATGTTGCATGGGGGATATCCACAATTTTCAAACCGTATTAGAGCAAAACTGTGTTGTAGAACTACTGTGTTGTATGAGGGATACCTGTACTTTCATATTCAAATATACTTCATATCAAATGCTAATTGCAAAAATTGAAACTATTGAATAGAAAACTGCTACTCATGATAAAAATGATTTTAGACTGTTTTACATAAATCTTTTGTGAACTGGACATATGCAGACCAATGAGAGATATACCAAACTCTGGTTCAACATTCTACTGGGTCCCTTTCCCATTAAATACTATAGAAATAACCTATGATACTTAAATAAAAAAACATTTACAAAACATGAGTTAAAATATTTAACTAAAGTTGGGAAGTTGAGATGCTCCCCTTTTTCATTACTTTCACAGGGGCTATTTCAAAGAAATAGCCCCTGTGAAAAGATGCCCACAGAATATTAAAAAAAAATGGGTGCACTAGGTATAAAACAGGGCATCATACATTATACAAGAAGCTTCAAGCTATGATTCAATGTCTGATCAGCACTCCCAGAAGGTAGAACTGGTTGCAGTCAGGGCTAACTTGGTCTTGAAAACAAAGAACATTTCTTGTTTTCAAGGCTAAGTTTTGGTCAACATATGACAAAGTTGCATGGGACAATAGATAATATCATTCATTAGTTTCTTTTATATTTGCAGAATAGGCTAGAAGTCTTGTTTGTTAATAATGGAATTTGGGGATATGGGGTTAATAATAATGGATGATTTATTTTCTTTAACCTATTCCAATCCCAGACCCTTGGGGATTGGAAGAAGTTAAAGAAAGTAAATCATCCATCATTCAAAAACTTTCTAGAAAAGTATATCAAGCACTTAATCCCTGACCAAAGCATGATAAGAAAAAGCTATGTGCAGCCTACATATGAAGCAACTTTCAATAACATACAGGGAATAGTAGGAAACAACCTATCTACATTCCCAACCTAGTTATTACAGGGTGTTTTGGGAAAAGCAAGCCAGTTATCTCTTTATATAGTTGTACATTTGTAGGAAATTTAATGAGATAACTGGCTTGCTTTTCCCAAAATACCCTATAATAACTAGGCTGGGAATGTACGGTACATTCAAGTGGCTTGTTTCTATGTCAAAAATTTCCCATCCATGGGAGAGCATTCATAGGTAAACTGGAAAAAATTTTCAGTGACTATGATGAAACTCAAGATTCTGTTGAAACAAGAAGCCTTGTTAAAGAAACTCTCCACTGTTCGTTCATATAAGTTTCTGTTCAGTTCAATTTCTAAGCTTGAGAAAAGTGGTCTGTTTACCAAAAAGCAATGGAGATTTTTAAATACACCAAAAACTAGTTGAAGAGATGTACTTTAGAGAAACTGAAAATACTCTCTGCACAAAAATTCAGATATTCAAGACATAATTCCAGTGTCTCTTCAGTCACAAAATCTGGAGTTTTTAGTGAAAATAAAATATGCTCCTCTCACATCTGTTGATATTGAGAGATTGTTTTTTGCAGTTCAAAGATTTACTTTCCTTGTGCCATCTGCAGCTAATCATGGAGAAAGTAAAATGAATTTATGTACTTGGAAGTACAATGCTTTTCTATTTGTAAACTATGAAACTGACAGATGAGATTCTGAAATTGACTAAATCAGGGCTTCTTAAACTTTTTTTATTCACGACCCCATTTATAATTGTGATTTTTTTCGCAACCCAAAAAATATAAAATAAAGATATATACAAATTTGCAAAAACAGTTCACTCTTGTGTTACAATGGAACAGAGACAACTGAATACACTGAAAAGCGATAACACTACACTAGTTCACACTACAATCAGTGTTGCCGAATCGTTGTCTCGCTGCACCAGAAGTGACACAAAGCGCAACTCACGAAACCTATGACACAAAGCATGCCATTTTCAAACTCTCATAAATTATTTTCAATATTTTGCATTAAATTCTTGCGACTCCGAGATTTCGCTAAGTTACCCCAAATGGGGTCGCAACCCATAGTTTAAGAAGCTCTGGATTAAATGATTTGAATTTTTTATCATTATCTTGAGTTTTATGTGTTCTATGTATACTTTTATGCACAATAAAACAATGGTTTTAATTTTATATGTTTTTAGGAGCACTTTTTTAAGGGGAAAATCCATTACTCTTTTTAGCCTCTTTTTCAAGGAAATTTTGCACCTCAACTTTCTAAGTTTAGTTATAACAAAATTTATGAACTAACAGTAGAACTCAATTATCTGAACTTGATGGGACTAGGGATCTTTCTGGATTATCTAAAATTTTGTATATCTGAAAGTTCTCATTTTTGGGTTTTGGGTACAATATCAAGTACTGTGCATTTAAAGTTTCATGAATAATAAATATTGTAATGCAATTATTGTATTTAAAAGTAAATTAATTTACTCAAAATCTAACATAATAATAAGCCAAACAATTGTCGTAATGAATTGGGTTACTTTACTGCTACTATTAATAATTAGATTCTAAGTTGTCAATCGTTTGACTTATTATTAAAACATGGAGTTTTGAGATGTTTATATATGTATCTAACATAATATTACATACATATTATGACCTAGTTTTGAGACACTACAATCAACAGATGATGCAGTGATTTCTAGTTATATGACTAGTTTGGTCTTTGTGTATTATACTCTGTGATATGTACAACACAACACATTCTGCTTTTTCAGATCGAGTTTACATGGTATTTCATAATATATTACAATTGCTTAGCATCAAATACCATACAGAATAATTAACTATTAAGATTGATATCAAGTAGAAAATTTGAACAAAATTATTATTTTCATATGAAATTATTATTTTTCATTTAGATATTTTTATTTTTTGGACTCCTAACAGTATCAAGTGTTTGATCATGTAAGGATTTTGACTGTCAGTCTTTAGATATTTTTTTCAGACTTTTAAATGAAATCCTATCCCAAGACATTATGAATTTTCTATTTAAAAAAATTGTTTAAATTACCTTTACCTGAGTTTGTGATTGTTGTAATGTGACAGTAGAATCACCAACCTGATCATTTTCTACAACCTATGTGATACATAAATAAAACTGTTATAAAACTAAACTAAATATGATTTTTATAATAATTATTACATTGTTTACAGGAAATGTATTTGCTTTGTTATTAAAAAATGAAGTATAAAAGTAATGACTGTTATTTCAGTTGTTTTATTATTTAAAAGGCTATGTCTTTATTTATAGATTTATCTCTCTAAAGAGAGCCAAAGGATTCTAGATTAATAATTTGAGAAAAAATTGAAACTAGAATTGAGTATGACTAAAACTTTATTCATTGTATCAATTTTCTTTGTATAATATATGAATAGAATTAACTTATAAAAAGTGTTTTTGATTTAAAATAAGACAAAATATTGATTTTTTTTCTAATTAACTTAAAATTTAAAAAATCTTTACAATGAATACTAACATAAATTAAAATAATAAAGTTTAGTCATAGGAAAACTATTAAAACTGATAAAAAGTGTTGTAATACAACTAAAAAAAATGATCTTTTATAACAGTGGATGAACATTTGGTGATTTTGATTTATTCCATGTAAAACTTTAATTGTCTTTCATACTAATTTATATTATTTTGTTCTACACAATAAAGATAACATACTTTCTATATTTTAAGATCTATTTCAAATAATATTAATTCATTAAAATTCTACTTGTTTTATACGGTTGCCATTATTAAATGTGACAACAAATTTTTAAAAAGTATTATAAATACAAATTTATGCTTAAAAAAAGTATTTGTAGAATCAAGTTAGCTATTAATAACACAAAGGATGTAATATAATTCTTCTATGTTTTATATATATCATTATTAGTTAAACAATTACCTATCATGTATATAAGAAAAATAAATCATATGAAAAAAATAAAATGTCATAGATAATTATTCTCCAAAAAAATAATGATGCTAATAGCATTAGTTGATTCATAATTTTTCTAAATTTTGGGAATTTGAATTAATTAATTTTTATAAATTGTTTTTTAAATATTTTTGCAATAGAAGATAATCTTTTTCATCAATTGTTCAGTTTGATATTCAAACATATTTGCAATTCTACTTTATTATAATAAACTAGAACTATTACTATTGATTTTGAAATTATACATTATTAGTCTTTTAATCCAAATATTTATTTCATATTAGTTTGAAATTTACAGTAATTATATTTATTAATAAATACATAATACTAATAATTATACTAGTAGTAGTCATCATTACCCAATATATAAATTAAATCTTATTTTCTTTTGTGTTAATACTTTTAATATGTTATTTTGTTTTATAAAAATTTAGATAATTAAACATTGATAAAATAATAAAAATTAAAACTGAAAATAATAGATTAAGAAAGAAATGTAAAATGAAAAACAAAATTTATTCTAACAAGGAAAACAATTCCAACTCATACACAAAATAAATGATGTTTCAAAAGCTATTGAATATATTTGTTCTACAAAAAATGAAAATGTGGTTCATTTTTGTGTCAAAAAAAGGCCTCAAAATTTGTAACACATACACAGATATATGAGTACATCAGGCTACTTAACCAGCTTCTCTGTTGGCAAAGTGGTAATAAGAAGATGTATTTTTTCTCTCTATTTCTTCTAACTGTGGTTCAAATGTACGTAAACCTATATTTTTTTTTTAAATATTCACTAACCTGTTTTTTTTGTGTGTATTGGCATGTTTATAACTGATTGTGGCAATTTTTGGTACAGGTTTTGCGAAAGAAATGTTAGTCACCAAAACTATGGTATTTTCATAAATATTCAGTATAAGTTTCTGTAGTTGTTGCATCAGAACTTTGATTTTTCACTGATTATTATATACAATTTGTATGAATTTTATCCATTTAGATAAATTGCATAACATGTGGCAGGGTATTAATCAACTTTTCCATTACAAAACTCCTTTCTTCAGTTCAGGATTCAACACAATTTTGTAGTTTGAATTCCGGAAATGCACTAAAAATGATGGATAATACACTGTTAATATCAAATCCATTTGTAATAAATACTTGAAAATTAGGATCATGAAATATTGGTGCTTGAAATGAACAGACAACACTGTGGAAAATTATAATATAGAAAAATGTGTATAATTTAACCACCATCAAATTAAACAGAAAATTTATAAATATCACATACCTTTTAAGAAGATAATGTTTCCACTGCAACAACTGTAACAAAATTCTCCAAATCGGTAAAAAATCAACCACCTAAATACAATGAAACTTCAGAAAGTATTAGAAACATTTTATTTTTTCTAAACTGTGTTTTGAACCATGGATACTAGAGAGATAAAAAGAAATCATGAGCATTACCACATCACCACAGTGGCAGTTGGGAAGGTGGTGTGCACTACTTGTGCATGAATGTATGCCATTGCTTTTAAGACCATTTTTGACACTTGAAGGGGCTTGACACAAAAATGAACCTTATTTTCATTTTTCTCAGAAACTTGAAAGGGCTTGACATAAAAATGAACCTTATTTTCATTTTTCTCAGAAACTTGAAGGGGCTTGACATAAAAATGAACCTTATTTTCATTTTTCTCAGAAACTTGAAGGGGCTTGACATAAAAATGAACCTTATTTTCATTTTTCTCAGAAACAAATACATCCAATAGCTCTTGAAATCTCATTTATTTTGTGTATGAGCTTGAAGGTTTCCTTGTAAGATATTTAAATAATTCATCAAACAAATAGTTATAAATAAGATAGAAATTGTTTTGAAAAATATAAAAATTAATGAAGATTATTTAATCATTTAGCCTTTGGTTACATGTGTAAAGTTTTATTATAAAAGTACCCATTAAGAGCCTGAGAGATTTACTTAATTCATTTCATCGAAAACAATTTAAAAGATAATTTAAAGTTGCTATTTATCTGTGAAAATGCTTTTCAACAAATTAATATAAATAATTTAAAATTATTAAAAATTTAAATTTATTTGCAAAATTGTTAATTCAAAAGAATCAGTCAAATAAATAATAATATAAATAAATATAATAATAATTCTACAATTTATAAAGCTTTACAAACATAATTAGTATGTTCTAGACATGTAAAATGATATATTGCTTCAGTACACAATTTTATTCCTAATAACACAATTAATTAATAAAATCAAATAAAAGAAAGATAAAATTTTCATTCACATATTCATTAAGACATAGCAGGATCAAAAACATTGTACTGTAATTTAACAGTACATAGAGTTATAATGTATGGAATGTGTTTTTATGTTTTTATTAATGTTCATTATAATGTTGAAATATAGTTATTTTAAAGATAAGAGTGTAGATGAAATCAATAAAATAAGGGACAGAAGATGGGCCAACAGTAAGCCTGAAATGCATATTTCTAATTAAGCAAATGTCTTTTTGTTGAGTATGGCTGAATGAAAGGACTTGTAAATAGGTTAAAAAAAAAAAGAAGATAAAATGTTTTGTACAAGGGATACTTTTAAAGTAAGGACCATTCTACAATAAAAAATGAACTACTAAAATAGTACTAATGAACTACTAGCCAAAAGTATGCTTTTGGCTACTTTTCTACATAGTTTCTGTTGTTGAAATATTTGTTATAGCATGAGACCAGTTTCTGTAGACCCATACTATAGAAATGTGCTGCCTGAGAGGATAACCATTCCTGCAGCATTGTTTTCTGACACAATTTTATAAAGAACTGACCACGAAATTTATGAGAAATTAATTGACAGGGTGGAAATGGTAAATCATCTTGTTTTCACAAATCATGGTGTCTACTGCATAAACAAGATTGTTGACGATTACAGATGGCCAACCAAGAGTGGTTCATCATGCACATTCTCCTGACCTTCCTTAAACATTCTTACCCACTTACAAACTTTGCTATTACACATGGCATTTGGATCATAAAATTCACAGATCTGGCAATGAATCTCTGCCTATTTCACATTTCTTGCAGCCAGGAAGCAAATAATGGACCTTATTTCACAGGCAGCAGGTCACTCAATCTTAAATATTTCTATCACAGAATATGAAAAGTACATACTGCCGATATGATTCAAAATGGTGTCTGTGTGCAAGGGATGCCAAGAGACACTGTGCATGTGCAAAATTATGAATGCATGCATTTTAAAAAGATATTGCCAAATGGTTCTTACTTAAAAAATATCCATCATAATAAAAACAATTCCATAAATAAATACAAAAATGGAAAAAAACTAACAAATATTTAATGAATCATCTTTTATTGCAATAAAATTTTATTAAGATGATTTTTTATTGATGCTAACTGAAAACATTGGAAGATTTACCATATAAGAATAACCTAAAGTAAAAAACTGTCTGCACTTGCATATTTTAAACTTATAGGCTAAGAATCATAATACTGATCAGATATCACTTGGATAACTTGAAGGCTAAATATTTAAACAATGTCCATTATTACAGTAAGCAGATTCCTACCGTATTACAAAATCCATATTTAACAGTTTGCAGTTATCAAATATATTAAATTATAGTAAAAAAGTAGGTGTGTTGCAAATGAATACAAGAAATAATATTCCAGATTAATTTATATTTGAATATAACTTATAAAAATACTAGTAAATTATAGAAAATCTAAATATTTCATTTTAATGTAAAATATGATTAACAAAATACTGTAAAATAATTTAATTTTATTGTATGTCAAGTATTTTTTGTAATATTAATTTATAACTGAAATGATAAAACTGATTTAATTATTATTAAATGTCAAATGTCTGAAAAAAGTGAACTAAATGTAAATTGATAAATCAAACCTTAATTTGGACAATGATTTGGATTTTAATTTGATTTAAGCATAGTACAATTCTGTATTCATTCAATAAACTTAAAAATAAAAAATGTTATAAAAGGTAAAATAAATTATGATAAAGTTTTTTTGTGTCAACAAGCTGGGCAAAACACTAAAAAAAAGTATTTCAAATACAAATAGAAATATAAATACAAATACCAAATACCTGATGCAGGTTGGAGTACAATAGACTCTTACTAATAAAGCCATTCCTTGTACAGAGAAGTGCCAGATTACTGAGAGTGTAGAGACCTACAGGCAATGAATGATGTAACCTGTCGCCATTCAATATTGATTCTTTTTGGAGGAAAGTATATAAATATTGATAATATGGTGTACTGAAATGCAATGCTTACACAAAAATGAAACCCAGGAAAACAGGACATGTGAAATAACTAATATTTTCATAAAAACAGAAGCACATTTACAATCACACTGGAGAATATGCCAGATAATTCAGGGCTAGATTAGTGAGAGTCTACTTGTATTTGGAAATACTAATTACCAGAAGTGTTGTACTTGAAGATTCAAATATTAAATTCTTTTAGTCTGGAATATTTGAAAATACTTTGAACTTATTTAGAATACATATAAATAAGTTTCATGAACATTATTGTGCATATAAATTACTTCTATAATTCTCATTTTTCAAATTTTACCATATAAATTTGTTACAATATACAAAATCAGTACAAGTAATTCCATCTGTGATTCCCTGATTCCCTGATCTATTAAGGTCTCTGCATTTCACCTTTCCATTATATAATATTTGGCCAAGTCTATTTAAGTCCATTTTGTACATAATTTTTTTTATTAAAAAACGCTTTATTCATTTACAAAAAACTTTGCATAAAATCAATTACATAATTAGCTACGTCAGTGGTTTCCAAACTGTCTGTACCTCTGTCCCCTCTTTTTCAGTAAAAATTGTTGTGCCCCTCAATTTTCATAGTAATCTAATTTCATAAATATTGTTCTTATAATTTATTTAATGGCCTACAAAACAATAAACCTTATTAAATAAAATATATTGTTTGCTGGGGCTTGACTCTTGTCAACACGTTTTGGCAAGAGTGTGGATGGATTTTTAGCATTCATATCTGAGTCATTCTGACAAAGGTTGTGAATTAGACATAACTATTTTGCTGATTCATTTTTTGACATTGATTTGACTTTCTTTTGTTTGTTTGTATTAAAAGATAATTTGGTAAAAGCTGTGTGCCTCCTTGCAATAGTCTCGTGGCCCACAGATTGGAAAACACTGAGCTACATCATTTCTACATCATATGAAAAATTTCATGATTCTATTTAAATAAGAAAAAGATTCATGTCATAAAATCAAAGTTTCTTAAAGCAAGGAGGCGGGAAATTCAAAATAATTTAAACATAACAAGCAATTATTTATTGTGACATTGTTACAATGCTGAACTGCAATTTTTAATCATATTTTTAATTTATTTAATTTAAAATATAAACTCTCTACCTCAAATTAGTAGTGTCTTGCCCCTAAACATCATATTTTTTTCCTTTAACAATAAAGATATGCTGGTCATCTATCTAATACCTTTCAGGGGAAAATTTCCAAATTGAAATAACATGACTTTGGGTTTCACCAGAAGTTTGTATATAGTTAATTGGGCCTCTTGCTCCAATTAACATCTTTCATCTATCTAATTTTGTCCTCGAGATTAAAGAAAGATAGGCAGACAGAGAGACAGATGGATGGCAGTGGAAATTTATAGGTCTACAATTTTTTTCCAAATTGCAGCCAATAAATCCAGCATTCCATGTGAGGGAGAAATCACTTATTACATGCTATTTTTGCCATTTAAGGTCTTTTCATTTCTTCCCATCCCTCCCTGAAACTTATAATGGGAGTGACTGAATTTTGGCAGAAAAGAAGATTATGGTTGATGGTGTTTTTGAAAACCTGACTTGAAAACTCTACAGCAATATTTTGATATGCTTCCAAAATTCTGCAACCGTCTGAAGATGAAATTTGCAATTAGAGAGAAGACATCATAGATCATCAATCCATCAAAATGGCAAGAGTGACAGACGAATTCCACGGTATTTGCAGATTCCCTGACTTTTTCTTCTAAAAAACTTTTTCCCTGACTTTTCCTAATTTTCCAGGTCTGTACAGACCCTGAATATATTTTTGGAGTTTTGAGCAATTTGCTAATAATTGGTCAAAACTTCATTGCTAAGTAATTGAGTATGCTACCATATTGCTGACATTGAATACTGTATGATCTTACAAAAATTAGATTTTTAAGAAGAATCTCAATATTGACTAAAATTTTGTTACTTTCATTTATGGATTTAAGAATAAAATGAAAACAAATGCAAAAATAAAATGTAAATATCAATATATGCATTAATATGATGGAAATGTAACAAATATGTTTAAATGCACATAAATATTATTATTTCAAAAACATTACATTATACACAATTGAAAATATAAATACTTTTAACTTATTAGCAAAAATGTTTCAAATAAAATCTTAAATACTCTCAAAATATTTATCTAAAATAAGAATTGAAATACTTTTATTTGAATTAATGCCCAGCTCTGTATGCAAGAATGTAAAGATGACTACATAAAAAAATTTAACATGCTCAACTCTAACTATATTATAAATATACAGTTTTACTTACTTGATTAGTCTGAGAATGGGGAATAACTTGTTGTAGCGAAACAGAACCTGTAGATGGTAAAAATATAGGCCACATTCCCGAATGATCAGTCAATTCTAAAATTAATAATATTTATAACAACTTATTTATACTGAATTACACTACTTATACTTTTAATTCTATATTTATTTCATAATATACCAATTTTTGTTTGGAAAAAGCAATCAGTTTGGAAATTGAAATTTAAAGCTTCAAGTTGATTACTGGATGATATATTTCAATTTTCCAACTTTCTTCTGTTTTTATTTTTCAAGTCATAGACATGAAAAAAAGGCATATTATAAGATAAATATCCTATCTCGACCTCAATGTGTTTAGTTCCCCAAGAATTAGCCATTTAAAAATTAACAAATAGATGATTATTTATATTGCAAAATTTTATAACAACTTTTTGCCAGCTATAGTACTTAATATTTAAAAGTGAATTATAATTTTAAACCAATCATATGCAGTTTCCTATAGTCAAGCACAGCCTGGATAATGTAATGGACTTACTCAAGCAAAATCCCAACCATTGTAGTGATGTCTTTCTGCTTCACATGGCAACTGACATGAATGAATTCATCCATTTGCACTTGATGTTGTGTATACCTCATGTGTAGTACTGTCACTTTTTGCCCACCTCCTGAGAGTACTTATCTACAGAGAAATTATCATAGACAGCACACATTTGTTGATGAATGTCAACGGGCACATAACACTTCACCATAATAAATTCAATTACATTGCATTGTTTCAACTGTACTGTTATAGAATGTGTTGCCATGTTTCTCACTATATATGTGCATGCATACATGACATTACAGACAAATATTGCTGGTGTTATCTTGATCTTATTTTGGAAAACTGTGGATTATTTTCATACCATTAACTGGTTTTCTTACCAAAGTCAGTTTCTTAATAAGTTTTAAAATATTTTTGTCATCTATAATTTCATTCTTAAAAATTTCTAATATTTTACAATGTAATTTATGTGAAAAATCCTTAACTTTACTCACTCTAAAGGTGTATTGATTAATTCAATAGATAACCAAAGTGGGTAGTTTATCCTTATTATAATTTGTGCGTTAAAATATTACAAACTACAATAAAGTTTTTAAGTATCAAGTCATAAATATTCCATAAATGTTTAAAAGCTACTGAAGATTGATTTATTTAAATAAATAAATGCAAATTACAGGTATACCTCGCCTTACGTCGTTAATTGGTCCCAGGAGAGGTGACTTAAGTCGAAAAATGATGTAAGTCGAATTTACTTGTCACTAGGCTAAATCACAAATAACTATTCCCAGTTCTGTATTTTATTTATTAATGCATTTTTAATAATATATGATTAATAAGAATCTATTTTAAGCTTACAAAACAAATAAATTTTAGTTTTTAATATAGTACAGGAGAAAAAGTAATCTAAATTTATGAATACATACTTGTAAATATACATGTTTACAATTTGGCGATGTTTACAGTATATCGTAGACTCTTTATTTGTGAATGTGGTTTGCTCTAAGACATTATAAAATAAGATGATTTTGTAAGGTTAAAAAACAAATATAGTTATTAAAATCATTTTGCGATAGTAAAAAATCAACTAATTTATGTTAAATTTACCAATAATGAGTGGCGCTGACAACGACGCCAAACAGTAGATATTGGAACTAACCTGGAAAATGCCAATATTGAGCTCTTAAAGACCACTAAATAAGATAACAACACAAAGTCACAGATATTTTCATATTTTGTTCTCTACGATTTATGATGATTATATTAACATTTACTGTAAATGTATATATTTTAATATGATTTTATGTGCTTTTAACACTTTTCTAGTGATATTACGATTTCAACATTTGTGGTGGACAGATGTAAAGTTGAATAAAATGACTTAAACTTGATTTTTATTTTTCCATATATTTTTTTTTGACAAACAATGTATAATCAAGAACGACATAACTTGAGGTATACCTGTATTTATTTATATTTAAGTATATTATTACAAAACTTATATATAAAACAGTGAATATTAAATTCCCAAATAATATTTTATATTTATTATTATTTTTAAGAGTCATTTAATATATTAATTAATTCACTCTTTTCATTGAAACTAAATTTTCATTTGAAATTTACTGTTAAAATCATAAATGAATCAAATCTTTAAATAGTAGTATTTAAACAAAATATTGATCAACAACCCAACCATTAACATTCTATTCACTTTATATTAAGAATATTTATTTTCAGATATTTTATATAAAATGAACTTTATATTTTGCCACAAATTATAATTTACTTTGATTTTATTAAGTAAAAGCTGGTAAATAATGTTGTCATTTTCTGAGACAAAGAATTTTATAATTTAATATTTATTAAATAAAATGAAAAATATTTTGAATCCTTCAATACTTGCATAGATATTAGAGAAGTTCTAATCATAAGTATTTGGGATATAAAAGTTAATAACATTTACTTATTTATTTTTCATTACCATTAACTATATTTAATACAGTAATCAATGAATTATCAAAGATTTAAATGGAACTTTATTAATAGAAAAGAATAGGAAATAAAATGGCTATTTTTTCTTAAAAAAATAGACATTTTATTTCTATGTATTATTTTTATTTCTACATGCAACAGAAAGAATCTTTCTTTCTGTTACATGTATGTATAATTTTAATCTTTTCATAATGTAAATTATTTTAATGAAAAACATTTATGTTTTCTCTTAGATAATATAGAGAGACAAGTCTTAAGGCAAATAATTAGAAATTAACATATCTTAAAAGATAGATAAATGTTGTCAGTGAAACACTGTACATTATATTATGATTCATTGAGACATATCAGGACAAGAACACTTTACATAAGTTTCAAGTAACTGGACTGAAGTATTAAGAAATATATAAACAAAAAATAAACTACCATCTAATGAGCACAAGAATTATTAAATTCTAGAATAAATGGCACTGATCAGAAAAATATTTATGCTAAAAACAATTTCAATTTATTGTATATATCAAACATTAATATAACATGTTTTTCTATTTAAGAGCCATTTGTTTTTGTTGAGTTATTGTTTAATATTTATATTTTAGATTTTACTTCCTTGTTTCAATTTAAATCATGCATTATTAAATAATTTGCATAATATTAAACCAAATAAATAAAAATAATTACTTGAAAAAATGATATCAATAATTAAAAATAATAAAATAATTACATTAATCTCCATTAATGGAGATTTATATAATTTATATAATGGAAAATATATAGTCTTCTAGTTTTCAGAATAAAATGCAAATTTGTCTTTACTGTACACAAAAGATGAAGATTAATATAATGATCCATGCAAGTATTGCAAGTATTAACTATCTTAAAGCAATTAAAAATTATTTTGATTTCAGAAATATTTTACATTGATAAAAAAATACAAAATGGAATTCTATGGGGAAAACCTGTTGTCAATTTTTGTAATGTTTTATCTACAATATAATTCTGACATACCTATACTTGTTGCTGGAATGAGATATAAATGACCAGTTAATGGATCTCTAGCTAACTGGAAACCTCCTGTTGACACAGGTAACTGAGTTGTATCCAAAGTGCTGACTGGCATTACAGGTAACGTTGAAGCATTTGGAGTTGTTGGAACACTCTGACCTACCCACACAGTGGGTGTAACAACAGGAGTATGGGTTACCCATGGCTGAGATATTGATGTTCTTGAGTTATTATCTGTGTCCCATTGGTTTGAGTTTAATGTAGGTCCTGAAAGCATTGTAAAAAATACTGTATATAGAATTATTATTCAATATTTATTGTATTAAATATTTCAATCAGAGTATATAACTAAATACAGTAGTTTTAATTTGTAAATATGTAATCTTTCTTATGTTAAAAGAAGAAACTAATAAAAACTCAATATAAATTTTTGTCAAATTTTTGTTCATGCATCTAAAAATAGCCATAAATACGAAAATTAAAGCCAAGGTTTAATATTATAGAATAAATGCATTCAACAGAACTTCCAATTTAATTTTTATACAGGATGCTAAGAAATTAGACTGGCAAAATGAAATGAAATGTAGAAGAGGTCAATGCAAGCAATTTTGGTCCTATGAATTGAAAGATGCCATAGCTCCTCTTATAACAGCAATTCCCAAAGTGTGCGCCGCAGTGCCTTAGGGAGCAGCAGCTTCCTCACAGGGCATCACAAAATATTATAACATTTTCATAATTTTATTTCCACTTTCAATTCAATGTGATAAGATGAGGCATCTAGTAGACATGGTTCAAATCATTAAATCAGTAATAAAGGTGGCACATGGAATTGCAAAATGTGAAAATCCCCATACCATCACAGAAAAACTCATTTTACAGGCTGCTGTAAATATGGTGAACATTATGATCAGTGAGTCTGCTGGGAAGCAGCTTTCAAAAGTGCCTTTGTCCAATAACATCATCAGTCGCAGAATACAGCACATAGTGAAGGACTTCCAATGTTCAGTTAATTGAAAAAATAAAAGGGAAGGAATTTGGGTTGCAGCTGGATGAGGACCACAGATAATGATAATGATGCTCACTTGATTTGCTTTGTACAGTTTATAGGTAGTAATAACATTGTAGAAGACTTTCTCTTTTGTAAAAGTATCACTGCTGGCTTACAACTTGTTCGAGATACTTGATATTTTTATATATGAAAATAATTTGGAGTGAACCAAATGCATTGGTATCTGTACTGATGGCTCTCATTCTATGTTTGGGTGTTATGGAGGACTGCAAGCACTTTTTTGAAGCAAAGATCCTGATGCACTGTGGACAATTGTGTTATTCACAGGGAAACACTAATATCAAAATATCTGAGTCCTACATTGAACTAGGCCTTAGAATATGTAGTAAATGTGGTAAACTTTATAAAAACTCAGCCATTGAAGGCAAGATTTTTCAAAAAACTATGTGAGGATATGGATCTGAGCACACATCTTTGTTGTACTACAGCACTTTACAATGGCTCTCTCATGGTAATGTTTTGTCTCGTATGTTTGAACAACTGTGACAGGAAATTTATATTTTTCTTAAAGAGGAAGACCACAAGTATGCCAAAAATTTTGTGAATAATTGTTTGATAAAACCAGCATACTTATGTTATATTTTTGAAAAGCCAAATGCTCTGAATCTCTCTCTGCAGGGAAACAACATGCACCTTTTAAAGTCAATTGAGAAAATTTCAGTTTTTATAAAAAAAATTAAAACTATGGAAAAGAAAAATAAATGAAGATGACAGAAAATAATGTTTCTCATTGTTGCAACAGTTTTTGACCTCCAATGGAACTGATTTCTCTCAAGGTATGAAATCCATTTTTGAAGAACATTTATCACAGCTTATCACCTGGTTTGAGAAATATTTTCAAAATAATAATATCAATAAATTGCATGGATTCAAGATCCATTTAATGCCAATGCTCTATCTAAATTTACTGCTGCAGAAGAGAAGTTTATTGAGTTATCTTGTGACAATACATTGAAAACAAAATTTAGCAGCATGCAGTAGCATGTTGTGCATTTGATGATAGGGAAGTTGTGTTTCTGTAAGAAGCCGACCTCCAGGGACAATCAGTTAATTGCACATCAGTCTAATGTGCAATTAACTGATTGTCCCTGGAAGTTGGCTTCAACCTTACCATTTTTTCATATATATGTTACCGGCCAAACCCAATTTCAGGCCAAACTAGTTTATCCTACGCATGTCAGGATATACTAGTTTAGCCTAGGACAATCTAGTTTGGCCTAAATACTTTAGGCTTAACTAGTTTGTCCTAGGCCGAACTGATTTAGAATTATTATTTAACAAGCCTGGCCAACCTAAATTTTTTTGCAGGCCACTTTAATCACACGTAACATTACAATGGGCCACAATTTAGGCAAACATGCTTTTAAAAAGTAAAACAAATACAAAATGAATAAGATTTCATTGTTATACCAAGAGTTCATACTCACACTTGCACATTATAACAATGACACACGGAAATTTTCATTTATTTAATTGTTTTGGTATACACAAAACGGAAAATGAAAGTCTTAATAGATATATGATATCGCTTAGCGGGCCACACAATTTAATGTGACAGGCCGCATGCGGCCTGCAAGTTGGCCAAGCCTGATTTAAGTATATTAATGGTTAAAATAAAATCAAAAGGCAATCAATTAGATAAACAATATTTATTCAAACATAGTCTACTTAATTATAAAAAAAAACGGTATTGATTAGAAGTGACACAACACTTGTACAAAACTATAAAATAAAAATAAGCTAATCAGTACTTATCGGTTTGTATTTTACTTTTTATTAAGCCATGCACTTTTAAAGGTAATTAACAATTGAAAATATTTTCAAAAATTCAAACGAAATAATAAAAATAACTTTTAAAGTCAAATTAAAATAAAAAATAAACTTGTTTGTGTTTCTTAGTGTAACATATAAAATATATAATCTTTTATTTGTTTTTACAGGGTGGGTTAAGTGTACCTAGGTAACCTCAATGGCAGCACTTCGGGCTGTTTGTGCTCCTGGCGGACTCCTCCCAGAGGGAAGCTGCCGGCAGGCTGCCCATTGTTTAACGTCACTAGTTACTGATTCATGGTAGTTCTTGAAGAAAAGAAAAAAAAGGAAATGACTACTAAAAATGTAGTTAACCTAACCAAACAGGTTAACCAAAGCACCGCCATTGAAGTTACCTAGGTACACTTTAACCACCAGGTGTACTGTGGTGGCATTTCGAATTACACAAAATAATTTTTTTTTACATTGGCACCTATTTGTAGTACATAAATCAATTCAGCCTAGGTCAAACTAGTTAAGCCTAAAGTATTTAGGCCAAACTAGATTGTCCTAGGCTAAACTAGTATATCCTGACATGTGTAGGATAAACTAGTTTGGCCTGAAATTGGGTTTGGCCAGTAACATATATATAAATTTGTAATAAAATAAATAATGCGGTTATAATAAAATATTAATTTTAATTAATTCAAAGTATGTTAAAATATTTGTTGAGTTATTGTTTAATATTTATATTTTAGAAAATATAAGGGAAGTGGTGCTTCCACAGCTTCAATGGACGGCACACCACTGGCAGCATGGAATTAACTGAATTTTGGATATCAGTAAAAGATGAATATCCATTCTGAGTGATAAAGCTCAGAGAATCACTTCCATTTGCAACTTCTTATTTGTGTGAAGCTGAAGTTGTTGCTGTGATAAAAACTAAGCATTGCACAAAAATCAATGTGAAGAAGGAAATGAGGGTGACTGTGTCCAGTTTGATTCCAAGATTTGAGAAAATGTGCAGTGGTCAACAGGCTCATCCATCCCACTAATTATAATTAATTGAATTTGTTCAATACATTTTTTTGTTATCTTAAATATGTGTTTTATTTATTTTTTACTTAACGTCCTAACTCTTTAAGTTAAAAAAATATTGGTTATTTCGCATATTATACTTGTTAGAATTTGACATAGGGCGCCTTGGGAAAATCTGGATTTAGCAAGGATGCCGAGAATCAAAAAGTTTGGTAACCAATGCCTTACAAGATTCAGGCTCCTAGTTTCTTTGCTGTCCTAAATGCTTGTTGTCCTGCATTACATGTGGATAGTGTAGGAAAGCCCATCAACATTGTCATGTACTGTACCTTGTTTCATGATATAGTAGTTTAAAAAATATACATAGATACATCTTATAGAAGTGAAATCTGGGATCACTTTCATTTTATTTCATTAGTAATTCATTGTAGATGTAATTATGAAATAGGTGAAATGGGAAAAAAATATGTGAGATGGAACGATCTAAATTGAATTAAGTATTGAAAATTTAAAATAGCATCTAACAACAAATTTTTTAATTATTTTGTTTCATTTCTATTTTATTTGTCAAGTAATATTAATAAGTTATAAAATACTAATAAATGCTAAAACAATCATGTTATCCACATTAAAAAATTTTAACATGGATAATATCTATAGTACATCTGATTGAAGAGCTGCGTAGAGTTGAGTCCAAGGTGGCAATGTGGCCAATGTTATTCTTGATGGAAACAACTGTCTTAACAGATGTAAGTAATAAAGCAATTTTTGTTACCATCATTGTTGTTAATTTTACTAAGAAAGTTATACATACAGTAGATTCTACAATATCCAATAGCATTGGGTTGACTCAATTAGTTAGTCCTTATTATCGAATAAGGATTAAAATTCAACAGTCAGCTTCTAAATAGTTCTCTGAGTTGTTATACTGGGAGAGGAAACTAGAAGAATTATCAGCTTTCAAGTTTGTAAGTAACTGTAAGTTTAAGTAGTAGTGTCTAATAATATCAATTAAAGCATGAACTGACATACAGAAAACAGGTGAGAACTAGACAAGGAATATAGGAATATATATATATACCTGTCATTATCTCCAGAAATATTGCAATGGTAAATGAATATATGAAGTGTGTAAGGATTTTCAAGTTTTTTTAAAAATTGGTGAGATTATACAAGAAAAGCTGTCAGATGAGTTTGTAGTAGCAATTTAAATCAATAATCAGAGCTGGAGTTTGACTTGTTGTGGCCCTAAACCATAATATATAACAGGCTTTCCCCTCCACTGAATAATAATATATGTAAAAATGTGAGATTGTAAGCTATAGACTCATAACACAAGATTGTCAACTGTAGCTTGTTTGGGTTATGAGTAAATCTAACCCTGGATGATCCATGGCAGTGCATAACCTGCACACATTTTCAAACTGACTTTTAAACCTAAATAACACTTGATTACTTGAAGAAAATTATAGCAAGATTTTTGTTTACTATTATTATTTATATAAATGCATTAGTTATATTTATTAATAATATAAATAATTCAACTAAAAATATAGTAAAAAAATATCAATATATTTATTTACATAAAATTAATCAATGAAGTTTTGATCAATTTTTATCACTTAATTTTCCACTATATGATAACTAAAATTTTTTAAATTATGTGATTTTAGTCTAGAAATTAAACCTATTTCATTTCAAAAATTTTTTTTAATAAAGATAAAGTAATTTGTAGTATCCATATATAATATATGGATACTACAAATATGTACAAAATATAACTAACATAAAAAATATCATTAAATTAAATTTATTTTTGTGATTTTTCTTCTTCTTCTTCTTCGTGCCATATCAGAGTTCTGAGGTCGGCGACACCCGGCGCAGATTAATAATACGCCAAGATGTTTACTAGGGAAGGTTAGTACCCAGAGTGGTTTCCCGTTGCCTTCTCTGGGGCGCGATGTTACGCGAAGGGAAAGAAGCCTTGTGATTTTTGAAATACAAAAAATTTATTATAAAAATACTTCTGATCTACATTAAAAAATTAGTTAAAATTAATTTTATTATCTTTACAAAAAAGCAAAATACCCGAAATTGAAAATAAAAACATTATTAAGTTTGAGTGTCATCATTTTAGGTAATTTTTTAAAATTATGGCATTCAAATTTCTTCAGCTTTTTTAAGTCTAAAAGTTTGATTTAAATCTGACAAAACTTAGAATAAGAATAATAGTGCATTCAAAGAAAAATATTTTAAAAATTTCAAGCCTTTATTTCTTCACAGTCATTGAATATCTTTGAACAGTAGTGAAAAAGATAATAATGAAATAAAATAATTATTAATTAAAAATGGAATAACTCTTAAATATTTTCAGTTGTCTTTCTTTTTCTCACTTCACATAATTTTGTTATTCAAAATATGCATAAATTAATTATTAAGAATTTATTTAAACTACTTAAGTAAAATAAATATAATATATAATCTACAAATATAAATCATACTAAAACAACTGATAATGTTATTTTAACTAAAGTAAAGATTATTACCTAATGTTACCAAGACACCACCAGCATCTGCAGGAGCAGAGTGCCGAGGTATTCGATCAGTTGTTTTATGATCTCTGAAATTAGAAATATATTGTTTCAATTTTTTTTATTTATTTACTTAATTGCTTTTATAAATCATAAATGAATATTCTTACCTTACTAATTCTACAAGATTTGCAGTACTTGTTACTGGCACTGATGTTAAATGGGTATTCTGTTCAGGAATATCACGCTTTTCTGAAATATCAGAATATTTTTAACTGTTTAGTTTATTGTGAAAAAATAAACAATGTCATATTAAAATAAAGCTTTATGTCAATAAGTAAATGAAAAAGCAAATTACTTATATGAAATCTACGAAAACTTCATATTATATAAATCAATAAATAGAATATGAAGTTTTTTATGTTTAGTTATGTTAAAATTATTATTGTTAAGAATAAACAGAAACTGTAATATATCCTTTCTTGTTATAATTGTTATTGTAATTTTATAATGAGATTAAAATATCTGACTTAAAATTTACAATAATTACTATTATAATTATTATTATGCTTACTATTATCATAAATAAATAGTTTCACTTTAAATTCAGTGAATCCTGGCAGCATACTGTAAACTAATAGAAATAAAATTGCTTTTTCTGGAAGCCAAAGTTTACTTTTACATAAGGAACAAAGTTTTTAAATGGTATTTGTTAAATTCTAATACTCTAGCATTTATGAACATTGAAGAAACACTAACATCTTTTTATTGAGAATAAAATGTGAAAGAAGCATAGTAGTGAATCTTGGATAATAATATTTCCCACAGTACTTTATTAATATTCATAATAAAATATTATTTATTATTAATATCAATAAAATTTTAAAATTTTATCAATATTAATTAATAAAATACAATAATAAAGCATTAATTCCACTGAATTCAAAGTGGTTTTAAACCAGTTTAGAATCTAATATTTAAAAACTGATTTTATTGAAAATCAGTTAACCAATTTCGAGAATTTCTAGTTTTTGTCAGAACTAATTATAACCCAAAACATAACAAACAGTTAATGCAGTGTTATCATCCTTATTCTTAAATCCATTATGTTTCCTCTGCTCAGAAGGTCATATTGACAGCTCTTTGAAACAAAGATAATGTACACTTTGCCAAATACTGTTCATAGTGTTTGGACAAAAAGTTCAATATGTTGTGAAACCTAAAGATGTATTTACATAATAAAACCAGAGAAAACCATATTTTTCTTACACTATGATAATACAGTTTGCACTGTAGTAAGGAAACAGCAAACATGCTTAAGAAAATGAAATTACAGATTATTTCACACCTTCCTTATAGCTCAAATCTGATACCACCAGACTTCTGGTTGTTTCCAAAATTAAAATTAGTATTGAAAAGTCAATTTTTTCATCAAATACTAAAGTTCCAGTTTCTGTATGAAAATGAGTCAAGGAAAATTCAGAAAATTTTTATACATGGAACACAAAAATGGATTAAACATATGGAAAAATGTCACCTAGAATTGTGATTATTGAGAAAAATAAGTATGTATGTTTAATATAAATAATTTTTTATTTCTTTTTAAAACTAATCATATCATTCTACTTCTTCCCAAACTAATTTTATAAAATTGAAGACCTTATTTATCAATAAACTCTTCTAAGCTGAATATTTATTGTACTATAAATATTTTTGAAAAAGTATAATTATTTTACAATGTTTCACATAATAACATTTAAAATGACTTTACCATCTTGTTTGGGAGATAATGTCGTTTCTTGGCGTTGCTGGGCAATGGCAATCCCAATTGGAATAGATGAATTTACTACAGAAATATTAAATAAGAATAAATATACATTTATTTATAAAGTTTATTAGAATTATTTTCATGTAAATATATAGGCTTATAAATATATTTTTATTTACATACATTATTTTAAAATTAAATACAATGAGTCTATTTGAATTCATAACTAAATGTCTAAAAATCTATATAAATGGTTCAAAATATTTTAGATGTAAATACTAATTTACTAATAAAATCAATTATTAAATTTTCATGCTTACACTACAGAAAATTGCTAGAACAACTATAAAACCTTTGCATAATCTACCTGACCATATATCTACCTGACCAATGGATGCTCCCATAGCATGAGTTTGTAATTGTAATTTAAAATTCGCATATAACATGCCTATTGCATAACCTATATCCACTTTAAAATTGACTTTTAAATACAGATTACCCATGAATTATATGCATGAAAATTTGGTACTCAATTTTATTATTTTTCTAAACAGTTCAATCAAATTTTAACAAATACAGTACTAATAATTTTGCAAAACTTGTTCAATTAAAACTAAATTACAAATATATTATAATAGGAAGGTACTGTACTTTTTTAGTTTAATTAAATTTAGATACACTTGATAAAACTGCATGAAATGAATTCTTACTTAGCTTTAACATTAGTTTTAGATTAGTATCACAAATCTAAAATTATTGTATATTTGAAAGCAAGGCTAAGCACATAAGTTAGATTTATGGGGTTTAACTCCTCCCATTTGAAAGGAATTAAAAAATTAAATTAAATTAAAATTAAACAGTATATTGTATATAATCATATTTATATTGTACTTTTCAGTTCTTCCTTAGTCTATTGTATTGTGTTACTCTATGCACCAGTAGCTATATTGTAAAAATTAACAAACTATGTTATGAAAAATAATATACTTTTTTCAACCCTACTATTTTTAAAATCCTGAACACAAGCCCTTATGAAAGAGATTTAGTGTGAAATATCCAGTTGATATAATACATAATGTACTTAAATGATGTATAGTTAGAAATTTAAATTCTGTTTTGGTCCATAGTGTTTTTCAAATATGTCTGTATTTAATGAATTATTCCAAAAATTTAAAGTTATTAACAGAGAACAGAATGTCTATCTGTGGACCAGCTCAAACTTTGTTGTTATTAATTTCCTTAGCCTAATTTTAACTTAATAATTTTTATGATTTAGTAGAATTATTAATATTTGATTATCCATAGTGTAATATCACTACATGTAAATCCTACTCTTTAATATTTTTAAAATTTTATGTAATAATATTTATTTCAAATCTTGCCTATAAATATACAATGGATATACAATCATAAATTTAAAATAAAATTATATGAATCCTATCAACTGCAAATATTTTAGCTAATTTGTTATGAACTTGTTTATATTTATTACAGCTCTATTTTATAAGCTTTAAATTTATAGAGTATTTATTTATCATAATAATAATAGTTAACAATTTCTAAATANTGCAACTCTAATCTGCAGTACCATGTGGTTTTTATCCATACTACTACGGACGAGATTAGTTTCCTCGAAACACATATATTAAGTAGTTATATTAAATATAAAATACCTGTTCCAGAAAAAGGTAAAGATAGTGTTGTTGTTAATGAATTTGTGCTATTGGCTCCTTCTTCTGTGGTGGTTTTACGAGTATTATCAATACTACTTGATAAGGTTGGCGTGACCGAAAGACTATTTCGATGGCAATTAGAGTCTGCAGCTCCTCGTCCTGTTATTTTGATAGCAGTAGCACTTTTTAGACTAGATTTTGTTGTTGTAGAAAGAGTGGGTTTGACTAGCGAGGATACATTTGTCAATGGAGTACTTGAAGGCACCACAGACTGCTTACTCAAGCAACTTTTAACAGTTCGAACAGAAACAGAACTCAGTGAACGAGCTGCTGTCACTTGTGACTGGCAGGATGAGCTGCTTTCAAAATGTGTTACCAAATTTTGTGTTTGTGGCCAATGAGAGCTTATTAATTTTTTTGGTTTTATGCAGGTTTCTAACTGATTTGTTTTGGCTTGAGAATTGGAAGATAATTCATTATAAGCAAGAGATTTTACAGGCAAATAACTCTTTTCTGTTACTGGAAGTTTCATTACATTCGAACTTTTACAGTTTGGCAATTCATTTGGTTCTGACTTAGGAAGCTTTTGTGGGAGTGATAAATTAATTGCTTGAGGTTCAATATCACCATCACATGTTATTTGTAAGCTCCTAGATTCATTCCAATTATTTGGCAAAGATGGCTTCACTTGTTCTATCTTACAAGCTGATGATTGTTCCTTTTTCGGTTGAATTGCTATTGGTAAATAATTAACTTCTTTAATATTGGAAATTTTTCTTGATTCATTTAATTTTGTATTTTTAAGATTTTTATAACACACATTTGAAAGTTTATTTGATGAAGAATGAGCATGAACAATGGTGCTAACAGTGGATGGCACTTTTACAGTATGCTGGGAATGATCTTTTGTTAGTGAGACATTTTGCAATGATGGAGTGTTTTCAGAATATGATGAAAGCACATTTGACGACAATGAACACGAAACAGGATTTTTATCTGATTTCTCAGACTGAAATTCATCTGAATTTTGAAAGTCCTTAGAATTATCACTTTCTCCAGGTTTCTGTTCTGTCCAAACAGGAGTCTCAATGTTCAATTTTGCATCTTCCATTGAACTTTTATTTTCATTTCTTCCATCTAATACTACCTGTGAGGAACTGACAGATGTTACATGGCCTGATATTTTAACACTTAAACATGAACTATTTCCTGTTACTGACTTTGATACAGTGCTCTCTGAGATAGATTGATAACATAACTGTCTACTGACATAAGTAATTGCAGTAGGAGGCTGTGTTACTGATCCTAAAAATAATTAAAAATATTAAATTACAGTTGTATAAAAATATTTACATATTAGTTTTTAATAAGTTCATGAAAAATATATATTTTTTTATTTATTTGTACAATTGTAATAATACATATATTGTTTAAAATTTTATGATGATTTTATAAATCAAGTACATAATTTTATAAATATAAACATTTATTCACTTTATTTTGTCTAAGATAAATTCATTTTGCTCAAAAATATATAATAATATGATTTTAAAAAGATATCATAAATAATTAATTTTAATAATCTATAAAGTACTTTTGTCTTCATTAATGTTATTAGCAAAATAACTTTCTTAAAATAGCATTAAAATAAATATGTAATTTTAAAAAATTATATTTTTATCTTTATTTTATCACATTTCTATATTTATACAATATTCTAGAAGTTTAAAATGGATTTTTATTTATTATACAGTAATATTGTTTAATAAATTAATATAAAATTTTTCTATATATATTATACAGATAAAGGTGCTTATATTGCAAGTGAAAAAATAGAATATTAAAATAATAGTGAGGTTGAGGCTGAAGTTTTTAATAAAAAACGTGTACATTGGACGTTCAGCGCCACTTTCTTGTAATTAAGCCTAGAAGTTTGACAATGGTGTTTGGAATGTCGAGCATGATTTCACTGGCTATCCAAATACCATTGTCAAACTTCTAGGCTTACAGGAAAGCGGCCCTGAACGTCTGATGTACACATTTTCGTGTTTAAAACTTTGGCCTCAACCTCACTAATAAAGAAATAATAATTTTAAAATATTTTATTATATCACCCATATGAAAACTTACAATGAAAAATAAAATTTATAGTGCCATAGAATGTTAGAACTATTATAGTAAAAATAAAACAAGAATTATAAAATTTTCATGGAGACAATAATAATAATTAATATAAATATTCTGATTTTTAATATTATGAAACAAAACTTTATAATAATCATTAACTTATAATAATATTGCTTCTTAACATTTACACTTTTATTTTATTTATTGAAATATTAAATCAATCAAAATGCATTATTATTTAATTAAATATTATTGTAGATTTTACATTTTTAAACAAAAATCAAATAAATGTACAGCTATTTATCAACCAATATCCTACAGTAATTAATAATCAAAGAATTATTCAAGATAAAAAAAAAACGAATAACTTCAAATTATATATTAAAATGATAATATTTACTTTAAGACCTTTGATATGTTAATTTGAAAGAGTATATAATATTTATGTAACATATACAAACTATAACTGATAATTTGATTCTCTTTGGTTTAATATACTGTATGTTAATTATTTTATGAGCAATTTCAAGATTCAAATTAATTACTTTGGATAATGATAATCATATTATTGTAAAACCAACTCATTTCAACAAGTAAAGTGTCAAAACATATCAAAATTAGAGTGGTCAATTAATCAAAGAAAAGAAGAACGTAAAAAGAGATGTTAAATAAATCTCAAGAAGAAAAGTATCCAAAAGAAACATTTAAGAAAGATATAGAAATTCTATGAAATCAAATACATTTATTCAATTAGAAATGAAACTGAAAGATATTTAAATGATGATGAAAAACTAGATATTTAGAAAAACTTGTAATCAAGCATATTAAATTAAAAATATGTAGATAATTTGTATATGCCAGAAAGTGAGTGGTAAAAAAATATTCAAAACAAAGATAAATAATGAATTGTCTAAGACAAGATTAAGTACAGAGCTCTAAAATAAATAATTATTACATTATAATTGCTTAATCTATATATTACAAAATTAGGATAACCTTTGTTAAATCATTATGTTAATTACTATATTAATCTGACCGATGCATTTCAGAAATATATAATTGCTACACTTTCATAACACTCAGCAATACATTAATCTAATAAAATGCTTATTGTTTTACAAAATTCTGTTTACTACATTTAAATTAAATTATTACAATATTTAATGTAAGAGGGTTTTGTACAAGTGTAATCACTATCCTTATTGTTTCAGTAAACTTTTGAAAAATATTTAAAAAGTCAACTAATTTATTATGAAAGAACAGCCATAAACCAATATTATTAGTAATTTGTTGTAACAGTTGCCATAAAAAAATACAACTTTGAATTTCGATTTATCTGTTAAATTTATTAAAAATAGAATGAATAGGAATGTTTAAAAATATCTGAAATGTAAATTATCCTGGATTTCAATAAACTATGAAGTAGTTATATAAAAAAATTGTAATAGCTTCATTTTCATAAAACAGACTTTAAATATGCCATTAAGTTAACACTAAATTGATAACTATAAAAATGCAAATAATATTATATATAATTTAAAAAATTAAATTAATGATGGCCAAAAAGTGTCTTTCAAACTGCATGTGACTCTGAAATATTAGTAGTATGGTTTAAAACATATACAGTAAACTCTCGATTTGCAGTTTATCGCAATCGAGAGTTTACTCTTCGGTTTGCGGATTATCCGTGCATGAATTTAATTTTTAAAAAATAATTATATGTGTATGTATTTTTTAAATAGTTGCTCGCTTTCATGTTTACACATCCTATAAGTGTGCACATGTTCATATTTACATGTTTGAAGCGGGTGGTGGGGGTATCTGAAGTCAGCTGGACTGGTTTTAGTTAGGCNATTTGCAGTTTATCGCAATCGAGAGTTTACTCTTCGGTTTGCGGATTATCCGTGCATGAATTTAATTTTTAAAAAATAATTATATGTGTATGTATTTTTTAAATAGTTGCTCGCTTTCATGTTTACACATCCTATAAGTGTGCACATGTTCATATTTACATGTTTGAAGCGGGTGGTGGGGGTATCTGAAGTCAGCTGGACTGGTTTTAGTTAGGTTGCTTCTTTCGCGCCGGACATTTCTTTTCGGAGGAGAAAACGATAGTAAGTACATTTATACAAAGTTTTGTTTAGTTGCATGTTATAATATGTATTACAATTTAAGATTTGATTATATGTACGTATGTATAATACATATTATATATAATATTTTTTTCAAATAACTCTCTCACAAATACTTTTAGTGTAAAATTACGTAAAATAAGATGTTTTTTTTTATTTTCAGATAAGTACCCTTAAAATGACTAATAATCGAAATAAAGTTGTACTTACTATAAAATAAAAACTAACGTTAACTAAAAAATTTGAAAAAGGTGAATCTACATCAAATCTACATGTTGTATTTTAGAAATAAATAATTATAGTTTAGATTATCCATGTTTCTGGATTATCCGTGTCACCTCTCCCCACCATTAGCCCGAATAATCGGGAATTTACTGTATAAACATCTCAAAGCCCAATAATTATATTAAAGCCAAACCTCTAGTGCCGTATTACTTAGTATTTAAGTATTAATAGTAGTGGTAATGTAGCCTGATTTAATCTGGCAACTGTTTTGCTTTAGTATGGCTTAGGCAACTGTTTTGCTTTAGTATGGCTTAAGCAACTGTTTTGCTTTAGTATGGTTGATCATTTAGATATTTTAAATAAAAAAACTCAAATAATATCATTATATCCTTTCAAAAATGATGATAAAAATATTATATTAAATGAATAAATTGCATATATTAATATCCAGAAAGTCAATAATCTGACTGACAACAATCCAAGATGTAGTATTGTTATGATATCATTAATATCACAATTTTATGTCAGCATTTGATGAACTGGTTAAAACAAAGAAACCAAGAATTGTTTACAAACAAAGCATTATGTTGTACAGTTTCCTAAGAAATTAATAAAGTAAAGAGAAACACAAAACACAATTTTCCTAGTAGGAACTTGGAGAAATGCACTTATGAATAGCAGGAATGTATCGGGGGAGTACTTATGGTGCTGCAGAAACCCCTTGATACCAAAGTGATCAATTTTGTTATTTTAAGATAAAAATAATAAAATAATAATGCATCTTATACAACAAAAAGTAATTTTACAGAAACAAAAAACAATTAAATTGATATTTTCTTGTCAAAAATATATGTTGAAAAGGATAAAGCATCAACTAAAGATTTAAAACATATGAATTTAAAATAACTAATTTCAATAATATCTAGCAAAAATAAGAAATGTAATGATTTTATATCTTCTATTCTTCCTTTGGAATCACACAGAGTATAAATCATATTGTAATTTGTATAATTTATTCAAAATTATCCATTTTCCATCTTCCATTTAACAATTTTAAAAAACAAATGAAAAAAAATTACGTAAAAAATTAGGTAACTGGAAATTCTAAGGATAAGTGAGTAACATTTTCCATACAATGACAGGGGATACCCTTGTGCCTTGATGTTCCTAAATCTATCTTGAGCAGTACCAATGGTGGGATTCAAATAATTTAATAACCAGTTTTTTGTCCTAAGGACCATTTTAAGTATAAAAAAATAATATACCAAACAGTAGTTTATTATTTCATGCAGTTAATACTTAAATAAGAACAATAAAAGAGGTACACAAAACTAGATTATGTTATAAGAAAGAGTTTAAAATATTAATGAAAAAATATTAAATAATACCCAACAAAAAAATAATAAAAACTGTTATTTAAAATATTTCCACATGCTTGGATAAAAGTGAATTTTCTTCACTTTTATCCGAGCATCATTGGCTGTTGATTTATCCTTAACCATCTTTTCACTGTAAGAGTAGGTTCCCATTCTTTGAAGAGGTAGGCTGATTAGACTAATAGTCATTGGGTTTGAAATATTAGAAACAGTTAAGTGACTTCTCTTCTCTGAACAGATTATTTTCATCTTTGAAAAACCCCTTTCCATTTCTGCTAAACTTACAGTGATTGTTCTGACAATTTTTTTAGCTCTTTGAACTCTTACAGGCTACATACAGGAACTCTTACATAATTCTGGAAATTTTTAAAAACATTTTTCCATGAAATCTCGATAATCATTAATATCAATTTGGCAATTAAAAATGTCATTAAATATGAGCAATTGTTCTTCAGCTTTTTTCTATGGAACTAATACTTCAATATTTCAGTAATCTGGCTACAAAAATTTGAGAAATTGTAATTTATTCCTATCTTGAAATTGGCTACAACTTGCTTTTAAATGTTCCCAATCAATTAGTCTTTTTTTCAAATTTGTTAAAATGTTTTCTAAAAGTCTTTCCCAAGGAAGCCCAACAGATCTATAATTTTTTACAAATTTTACATTTTTGAGGGTTTCTTAAGTAATTAATTCATCAACTTTTTTCATATGGACCCTTTTGCTTTCCAAGCATTTGAAATTCTTTAATAGATCTTATCAGGAGTTTTTCAGCCTTTATTCTATCTATATTTCCTACTTTCAATTCCAAATTGTTTGGATATTTTGGAAAGTTCAATTTGGTTCTTATTAGATTGATGAAAATTAGTACATATCTTATCACTAAATATTTAAAATGATTTACTTGCTTTATTTCGTTTATCAAGTAGTTAGAGCAAATTGAAATATGCAAAACCTACAACCCATCATCACCCATCAATTCCAAGGATGAAATCACCTTATCTTTAGCATGGCAAGCCCTATTCCAGAAAGATGATTCAATTTAAATTTGCAATGATGCTTATAATAATTAGGAAATGACAACACACATTTTTTCTCTAACTTCTGATCCGCTAATACGAATTTTATTCGTATAAAAAATACATAATCCATCATTATAAGAAACCGTTTATTATGTAATGACTTTAGTTTCGAATCTGGATGGCATGTAATTCCTGTTGGATTTCGAAGTTTGATATTTGAAGTTTCATTCCAAAAAACAGCTGGTCTTTGTTCTAACAGATCATTACAAACGAAACATAGCTTGAAGAAGGACCCAGGAGGGATCTGAAAATGTTAGCGTGAACAATTGAACATACTTCATGCCGGTTAAAGGTTTTTTTTGAAGGATTATTTGTATATTATTCTAAGAATTAAAGAATCCTGAAGATGATCTATGAAGTAAACCAAATAATTCTGTTGTCATATTAGTGTGGTTTTGTTCATTGGTTTTTATGAATATGTTAATATCCAATAAACATAAAAAATATCAAAAAATAATTTGGATTTTACAATTATTATGTTGGGTTTAGTGAATTATACTCAAATAACACCTACTACTGTGTACTATGCTGGACTAGAGTCAAGGCATAACAACCAAAACAAGACAAAAATTAAATAAGTGTGTCAGTGTGTGTGTATGTCTGTATTCAGGAATTTCCTAACAATATGACATGTATTCAATATAGAGGCCTTCTGAAGTATGATGTATGTGTTTCTATACAATTGTAATGTTCCCAGGCCTTTGTGTAGTGGTGTGGTATGACACCTGTAGAGGTGAGAACAACAGGTGTAATAAGCATCCTATCCATCATCCACATATGTTTTATTATTATTATTAATTTACTATGTTTTATTATTTATTTTATGTCAAAATACATCTTGAAAAGTATATAATTAGTATATATTATTTTAATAATCTTTACCATTCATCTTCATTTTTATTTTATCATGTACAGCAGGTGATCGGTTAACGAACATAATCCGTTCCAAGACTTTGTTCGCTATCCAAATTGCTTGTTAACCAATTATCAATTTACCATAGGTTTTAATGGGAATTTAATTAATTTGTTCTGGAGATCCCCAAAAATAAAAAATATATACTTTCTTACTACATTTATTTATATGTAATAATAAAAATACATACATACACAGTCTTGTGTTTTTATTACTCATGTTTTTTCCATTTGAAAAGGTTAAAGAATCTGTCTAATGTCGATTGCTTTTCTCTCTTCTTCAGGATTTTTCGTAAGTAATTAATAGCATTGCAATTGTAGAAATCCCCAAGCCTCAACCTAGTTTGGATGCCGTTCTAAGACTGTTGTTCTGACATCCTCCTATTTCTTCAAAAGATCTTTAATAACAGATATCGGCATTAATCCTCTTTTTCAGAAGAAAACATATTTTGCTGAGTTTCTTGGTGTTCTTCATTCAAGAGTTCTTGGCGTTCTTCTGTCGTCAGATCCATTTCAAGTTCCATTATGAACTCTTCGATGTTCTTTATTTCTCAGATGTGATTTTTGTTACTCCTTTAACTGCTTGAGTCTTCTTGATTATACAGTATTTTTCTTAAATAAGATTGAACTGCGGCCTACTGTAGACCTGTTCACGCCATACTGCCCAGCAACATTAGGCATTTTCTGCCCACTCTCTACTTTTGCTATTATACTCTCATCTTTCGAAAAGAAAAACAGACGCTAAACTTAACAAGTGCCTACCCGACAGTCTTGCAAATACACAAAAGAATTGTTTTGACAGAAAAATAAAAGGATGGAATTACAAGGGAGAGTTTCAAAGTTCAGAGGAATACTATCCAATCGGTATATACAGGCTTGAGTGTCGATTTCGATGTCTCCTGCACTCTGAAAAGTTTCGAATTGTTGCCCGAAGACAAGGGAAGACCAATCAGTATTCATTATTTTATGTTGCTTCTTCTTGTGTTTGTTCTGTGGGGTGTTCGTTATCCGATCATGTGTTTGTTGTCAGAACATAAAAATCTTTCACGACAGTGTTTGTTATCCGATTTGTTAATTAACTGATCACCCACTGTACGTGATAACTGTTGATTGATTATTATACTTACTAATACTTAGCAGATAATATTTAATCTCAAATATAGTACAAAACTACTTTATAATTAAATAAATTTTAAAATATACTTACCAGCTATAGTTTGATGAGATTTTACATTTCCATTTTCAACATTAAGATGATTATTTGCAGTTGCACAATTAGGAAGTGAGGGAGCAACAGTTCGTGTAACTGTAGCCACAGCAGGTGTATGACCTAAACATATCACAGCACTGTCACCACTATTGGCAAGATCAACTGAGTTCACAGTTCTGACTACAGTACTGGGATTCACAACACATTTTGGGCATTCAAGCCCATTCTTAGAATTTGGTGACTTTAAGTCATAGCTGTCGGACAGCACACTAGACAAGCTGGGATTTATCACAGATGTGGACTTGTTATTACTATCTCCACCAGAAGATACAGCTTGCTTTATCTGATGTTTAACTTCATTTTTCCGATTGCTGACACGACTTTCTCCCTTCCCTTTACATGAGGCACTTCTTGTTTCATCTTTGTTGCTACTAAAATCTTTTGATTTTGGTTGAGATTCAGTCTTGCCAATAGTTGGTTTCGTACTTTCTGAATTGTAAGATGTATCCCAGGTCATAAAACTATTAGTGCTGCTCTTTACCCTATGTAAATCATCATCATCAGTTGCCTGCCTTGTAATATTTAATCCCTTTACACGTCCAACTAAGGGTATATAGGATGGATGTCTGTCTAAAGTAGGAGTAAGATTTGAAAGTGGTAGACTGGGAGTTATGTGACTTGTAGGAGGAAGAGAAGAACCAAGTCCATATCCTGATGAATAATAAGTAGGATCTAAATGAATAAATAAAATAGTAAATTATAAAATATTGTAAAAAATCTTTAAATTAAATTATTTTTTAAATAAAAAATAAAAATCATAATATACTAATTCCTTTCAAGAATTTAATTCAAAATATATTTTATTATATCTATATTCAACATATATTAAAGTTTACACAATATTTCAATACTATTCAACAAAATATTACTAAATGAAATCTAACAAACTAGATTTTAATTAAAAATCAGGAAAAAGAGATAAAAGAAAACAGTTCATTGTCTTAAATTCTCATATATTAGGTACTCATAAATTGTGGTCATATTCTTTATACATACAAACTGTTAGAGAAATAAATGGAAAAAGAAAAGATCTAGGCTCTGTATTAAAGAACAAACAATAGCATAATATAAAATAATAATGAAATTAAAACAGAAGCAAAGAATATTTTGAAGATCTGACTACTAAGAATTAGAGAAGATAACTGTACAATACAGAATGACCATAATTAAACTACTACTATTCAACACTGTCTAGAGAGTTATATAGCAGTTCAATTTCAGTGTCTTAACTCTTGAAACACACATGCAGCATTGGCATCATTTTCCGCCAAATAGCTTCTCAAAAATGGCATGATCATGACTATTGCTGTTGATTTGTAGTAATATGAATGAAATTTCACATGTAATAGGCAGTGTTACATCCAGAAATATGTCATAATATATATGCATTATTCATATGCTGCATATTTTTTCTGCTGTTAGCATTGCCACAGATCATATAAAATTGTGATTTCCATTAGGATAATTTTCTTAGAAAAATAAATATTTGAAAACACCACAAATATTTAACATGTAAATTAAACTTGACAAAATACAACATGGAGAACTAAAATAAATTATAAATCTATTAATAATAATTTGAAAAAATATTAAATAATTATTTAATTAACCAATATACTGGAATGAGTATTAAATATTGCTGGAGTATGTAAGTTTTTTTATATGTCAATGTCAATTAAATGATTTAAATAACAGAATTACCTCAATTTACAAACAAAAAGATGACATCAACTATGATACTAACTGTAGCATAAAATAGTGAATGCTTTATGAACTTTTTGACAAAGATACTAGATAAAATGCTGAGAAAAATTATAAAAAAAATACATGAGATGCAATATAAGTTTATGAAAGGCAATGGAACATTAGACAAATTTTTATTATCAAATAATTAATTATATGAGACAAATTCTAGAAGGTGTCCTATGATAAAACATGAGTGGTATAGTATATTGGTGTTTGATGAAGAAGGAAATATCTGAAAAATTGGTCAGAATTTTAAGAGAAATATAAAAGCATCAATAACATTAAGTACAACTTTGGAGATTTGGAGCTATCTGAATTATAAGTTAGGTTATATCAAAGATAATAAGGACTATATTAGAAGATTAGGAAATAGAAAAATACTGTTTACAGATGATCTAATTAAACAGAAGATGCAAGATAAAAACTACAAAAAAAAGAATTTGGTTATGTAAAAAAGTAAACCAAACAACAGCCTTAATTAATTGGTCTATTTTTTGCTACAAATAATAATTAGAAATGAAGTAATTTTGTACTAGAGATAGACAATAGGCACCATTTCTTATCAAAATTAATAATTATAATAATTTAGTATAATTTAGATCACTTAATTTCTAATTATTATTTATAACAAAAATAGCCCAATCAATTAAGGCTGCTGTTTGGTTTATTATTAATACATCGGGCTTTGGGATGTTTATATATGTACTATACATGTAAAAAAGCTTGCGAAAAACAATGGGAGGGATGATAAGCACGAAAAAAAGTGGACAAGTATTTGTGATAGATATGAGAAGTCCTAAAAGAAACATAATAGTTTAAATATCTAGATATTGTTATCAGTGCACTTGGAAAATTCTACACAGAAAAAAATAAAAAAAATTAATTAGAATAAAAAAAAATGCAAGAGATAATATGATGTATATATGATAAAAAAAATGCCAACAAAGTTAAAGATAATAATCTAAAAAAAATGTAATAAGAACAATGCTATTAACAGAAGCAGAAATATAAAATTTAAGAAAATTAATAAAGAATTGATAGAATAAAAATGAAGATAATCAGATTTATACTGAAAGTATAATTGAAAGAAAAACTGAAGAATATAGAAATTAGACAAAAACTATAACACAAGTAATCTGTATTAAAGTGGAAATAAAAAATGTAAGAATGAGACAGTTTCCTTCCATGGTGGAATAACAAAGTATAGAACCAATAAAGGAGATTTATGAAGAACAAATAATAAGGAAGATACCATGGAAAAGATAAAAATTAAGATGGAGCAATAAGAAATGAAATGAAAAAAAAAAAAAAATTTACAGATGAAGAGGTACAAATAAAGATAACAACAGCCTCATCAAAGTAACTAATTTTTAAATTTTGGAATAAGGTGAGGAAGAAGATAGCATCAAATTTCCTTTCATTCAAAAAGTTCTGTAGGAAATGGAAAAGTTGCTAATCATTAGAGTAGCATCTAAAAAATATAATAATAATAATACAAATTATCCTGAATTTCTGTAATTTTCTTTGGTTTTCATCACAGCCTGTGGATGTGCTTTTTCTGGTTGAACTACTGTATTTCATTTTTTTTTAATTTGTCAGTATTAAATATTTTCAGTAATTGCCAATCACAAATTGTTTAATTGAGACAATATCTTTTAGCTGTAAAGGATATTTTAGAGTCAAATAGTTCATAACAAAAAAATAATTTTGCTATCTCATCAAATATACAGCATTATCTTTTCTGGTTGTAATTTAATTTCGGAATCACTGAGAGGGCTCTTCTTATCATACATTTTTACTGAGACTGAAACTTTTTCATTGAATATTATCATAGAGAATCTATTTTTTTGTTCTATTATCAGTATAAAAAATTTTCTTTTTCCCATGAAATGAAGTATGTACTATTAAGTAAATCTTAATCAGATGCAAATATGATGCTCATTTATCATATTTTTCAAATAGTCTATAATTTGTGTTTTTGATTATTTTTATCACAATCTCTCAAAATTTTAAATGTTTTTCTTTTTCAATTAAAGAATTGTATTTGGTCATCATAAACTTTTACTAGTTGTCTTTCTTATTTGCTGCATTGTTTACTGCAAAACTGTCCTTACAAAACTTTGCAAGCTATTTATAATATGCTCTTTGTCCACAGTTCCTCCTCCAAAAACTCAACAGTTTCCATAATTTGGTATAATTTCTCCATAATTCTTCCAATCTCTATAATTTAAAAATTTTTTTAAATATAGTTATATAATTCCTTTCTGGAATTTGTATAACATTACATGTCTTAACAAACACTTTTTCATTCATGTTGAGTACTTATAATAATTCATTTTGAATGCCATAAAACTTGATCTGTCTATGATTACTTTTTTGAAGTAAAAACACAAAGATAACTGACTGCTATATCTAGTTAATAAACATACACACACAATATTGGGAAAAAAGTACTTTGTTTCTGCTAGTTTTTACTAGATAACATATCATTCTATGTTTCTTTATTTTTACAAAATAAGAAGTGATTATTAAAATTTCTTCATGTGTTCATTAATTTTGTAAAAAAATAACTAAACCAGTAGTGTATCATGCTCCTTGTTTTTATGCTTATTACGTTTATTTTATTTTTACTTCAGTTTATGTATTAACCTTCTGCATTTTGAGATGAGATAATTGTTTGGTTCATTTCACTGGTTTATTTTTTGAAGAATTCCCAATACATGATAGAATACTTAAACAGATTTTCAAATTTTCAAATGCTCAAAAAGCTTTAAACCACATTATTGACAATTATTTCCATTTTTTGTTGTTTATGGATTCGGATGATTGGATTTATGTCCCAAATACGTTTAAATCCTGAATAAAAACAGTGGGACTCCTTATATGTTCTAGCATTATATTTTCTTCTAGCAATACATGAAGTCATATTACTGGACAATGTTTAACTCTTTGTGTAGTAGTGTGATGTAGAAGATAAAAGGGATGCTCTGCATATTAAGGAGCTTATGATCATGTGCTTATAGATTAGCAGTTGATATGAATTTCAAGAGATAATATCTGATGGAGCATTGAACTTACGAAATATGCCAAAACTCTATACCTTACTTACACAAAAAATGTAAGTCTAAAAAAAATGCATTAAGTCTGGAATTTCAATACATGATACACAGAAATTAGCCTTAACTTATTTTAATATTTTTACCTTATTTTAGTTTTTTTCTATTACATTTAACTCCTGTTATTTCATTACTATTTACATAATATTTTTAATAAATTTAAATGCTAGAAACCTGAATTTGTATACTGGATAAATATAATGTCTTTTTCTTTTATTTTTAAATAAAAGAAAAACACATTATATTTACATTACATTGTACAGTAGTCTTTTATTTTTAAATAATTTTCTATTTTAAAACAATTGTATTCCTAAAAAGTTGATATTAAAAATCAGTAAAAGTATTTGAAATATTTTCTTCATAATTTTTGTTTGTATTTTGTTTAATATAAGTAAACAAATTATTCAAACCCACTTCAAGATTTAAAGATTTTTATCTGCAATTAAATAAATCAGTATTAAATTAAAATAATTTACATTTAAACATTAATTGAAAATAAAAATAAACTATTTTCTTTTAAACTGAATTGATCATAAATGAATGACAACAATATATTGATACCAATAATCAAAATTGAGAGTGGAAAACAGTCTCTCACCACAAGTTTTTTATACCAAAATGGGATAGGGACAGCAGGTGATAAGTATAGAACCTCTCTTATTAAAATTTCATCAAGAAATATAGATGGGCATTATTAACAATCTGTTAGTACATCATTAGTGATATTGATTTGATGAAATAAAAGAGAAATTTATTCTCTAGAAATTTTATTCTCTAGAATAAAATTTTACTTTTGAAAATCTAATAGCC